GCGTCCTTGCTCCTAGTAGTAAGGCCAGGAGCCCCTAGTAGCGTCCTCGCTCCTAGTGGTAAGGCCAGGAGGCCCTAGTAGCGTCCTTGCTCCTAGTAGTCGGGCCAGGAGCCCCTAGTAGCGTCCTTGCTCCTAGTAGTAAGGCCAGGTAGTAGCGTCCTTGCTCCTAGTAGTAAGGCCAGAAGCCCCTAGTAGCGTCCTTGCTCCTAGTAGCCGGGCCAGGAGCTCGTAGTAGCGTTTTTGCTCCTAGTAGTAAGGCCAGGAGCCTGTAGTAGCGTCCTTGCTCCTAGTAGTAAGGCCAGGTAGTAGCGTCCTTGCTCCTGGTGGTAAGGCCAGGAGCCCCTAGTAGCGTCCTTGCTCCTAGTAGTAAGGCCAAGAGCCCGTAGTAGCGTCCTTGCTCCTAGTAGAAAGGCCAGGAGCCCCTAGTAGCGTCCTTGCTCCTAGTAGTAAGGCCAGGAGCCCCTAGTAGCAACTGATACTATATAGAAGTTCACTGCTTGAAGCTTGCTAGCTAAGAAATACGAGGTAAGAGCACAAGAAAACCAATGGAACCATCTTGACCAAAAATGATGGAACTGAGTTAAGCAAACAACATGTCATCTTTGTTGGGTCTTCGGTACATGGACGTCCTTTGAATTTGGCTGACAGTGGGAACTCGATAGGAAATAAGTGGATAATAAAGAGCAAGGTCGCACATGACGGGATGTCCCCAGCACCTTCCTCGCCATAAGCTAAGCTGTGATGCGCTATGAACAGACTCCGTTCTCCGAACTCCATGCTCGCAACACCAAGGTCCCATGCCTCCAAGACTTCATCCAAACCCAAAGTGAATTCAAAGAGCTCAGGTCCGGAAGAATCAATCAAAGCAGTCCAGTTGCTGCAACTGGAAGACAGCGGACTTGATGGAGTCTTTGGTTCGAAGTCGAAGCTGAAGTCTGGGACATCGGAATCAGTCGACTTCTCCAACACATTGCGAAGACCTTCGGCAGCCTGACTTGTGGTGAAAATTCGAGTCTCGTAGTGAACCTTGGCCCGGTCACCTTTCTTCAACCGCTCGCCACGTTTGCCTGCAATGCCCACTTTTTTCAAAAGCCGACCATCACTCAGGAGGTCCTCCATCTTCTGTCTAAACTGAACAGGCGTTTTCAGCTCACAGTTGCTCAATGTAAGTAATTTTGCTACATGCACAGGAAACCGCAAGAGAAGGTGCAATTTCTTCTTACTACAGCAATGCTACAGGACAGGGCTTAGTTATGATAATGCATTGTGTCATATTGCTTGTATATACCATTTGCCTATATCCTCTGCTTGGTCATATCACGCCCGTGTTGGCAATGCCCTCTGAGCGTCTTAGATCATCTACAGGCATACTTGAACCACAATCAGGCTCATTTTGTTTATTCTGGATTCAATCCGGTCTCGCACAGCAGGACGAAACTCTCGAATATGCAGGAGCAACATGGAACAACTTGAGACGGGCCAAAGGTGTAAAGCAAAAAATGCTTCAATGTTCTGTACACACAACATCACCCAACCCAATACCGTACCTACTTATTTTTATGCGCTAACAATATGCATTGTCCGGTACCGCCTCCATGTGCAGGAGCAAACCCAACGCAACTTCCCAGCAAACTGCTCGGCCAGCTGCTGTGATCGATGCATTGATCCCAGCTGTATCTGCAAAACCTCCGCTTGCGACGTGAGAGGTCAATGAACGAGCTGATGCCACATCTACAAAGACTTTGCAACATGGTTTGGAATACATGACAGCACCCCTTGCCAAAGTGCAAGGACTAGTTCCAAGGCAATGTAGAACTTAGTCATTGGCAGCCTTAGTTGCACACCTTACTGACTTGGAGATGACACGTTCTGCAGCCCATCTTCTCTTGAGCGTCGACGGAAACGCGTTGAGAATGTTGGAAGGGAGACGTCGTTTTACACCTATTCTACACTACACGCTCTTTGAGAACCTGCCTCTGATCAATGCACGATGTTTTGGGTCAACACTGGCCAAAACTAAGCAAAACGAAAAGCAATTCCAACTGCCAGCGATTCTGCTTGGTTGCCACTCTAGCTTAGCTACACAAGTGGATTTTTTCTCCTCACAAATACCAAGGGTTTTGCAGGCTGGGGCAAGTTGCAAGGCGTTTAATATTGTGAAAGTGTGCATCCATGTCGGACATGTCATGTTTGCATAAGGTTGATGGCGGCCCTTTGATCCTTTCCGGCCCAAGGGCCCTTGAGCTTGTTCGTACCGAACGCTAGGCTGCGCCACATGGAAAAGCGCCGTTGATCGCTGTGTTGTCGATTCGTGATCCCCATTTGCTTGAGGATACCCACACATTGGTTGACATTGTGTTCCCATCTCCGCTTACCATTTTACATGGTAGCGGGGCGTGTTCGCTCCAGCAGTGCCTTGTGAGGTCCCGGCCTTTCCCGGGTGTGGCGAAAGCCACAGAGTCACTCGTACCATCCAGGTACATTGAGCATTGAGCAGTGGTGCAGAGTTTACATTGATTTGTGTTGTTGTTGGTTGAACATTGATCGTTGTTTAGCATTCATGGCAATGGATTACAAAGATTCGTTGCGAGACCTCTCCTTTGACGGAAAGCCGAGTGGTTACAGAGAGTTCCGGCGAAAGCTGATTCTTGGTGCGGCGTCTTTAGAAGACAAACAACAACACCTTGCAGGTCCACGTGTCTTGAGCAAACTTTCAGGTGAAGCTTGGAAAGCGACAGAACATTTGTCGGTGGCTGACATCAGAAGCACTGATGGTTGGTTACAAGTTGTCAAGACATTGGACAATCACTATAGGTTTTTGCCAGAGACTGAGCTCCACGAGGCGATTGATGAGTTTTTGTTTTCTCTGAAGCGAAGAAACGGTGAGGGAGCAACCGCATTCACCTCACGTTTCAAGACATCCCTCAACCGGCTGGAGACACTGATTTCACAAGAACGACAGTTGTCCCGAAAGCGGCCGGAGACCGATCGTCAAGCTGAAGAGAACAAAGAAGAGTCAAGCAGTCTGGAAGAATCGGATGAACAACATGCTGACCGTCCGGACGACCCTCGTGAACAGACAGACGAAACCGAACAAGAAGCTGAGCCTCGGCCTGACCCGAAGGCCAAAGCTGCTCCTCCACCAGGTCCTTTTGATCCTCCACTCGATCCACATCGCTGGTCGGGATCCACACCATCGGTTCGAAGTGCGAAGTCGAGTTCAAAGGCTTCCCAACAGAAGTCCACTGGGACACTGAAAGGAGATCAGCGAAAGGATCATCTTCGAATGCAACGTCTTCTTGGAACGTTGGAGTTGTCACACACAAAGCCCAAGCCGATATTTCCACAGTCAGTTTTGGGACATTTGTTTATGAGGAAGTTTGGGTTGTCGCGTGAGCAACGCAGTCACATCATTCGTTCCACAGGCGGCTCCAGTCGATTCGTTGACATTGAGAAGATTTTGCGTGCCAGTGACTATGAGGAGAAGATGGACGATCGGCGGTCACGCCATGATGATCGTCGACAAGTCAGGCCTCGTCGAGAAACATTCGCTGTTGAACAGGCTGTTGAAGAATCTTCCACCTCGGTCGACCCACTTTCTGATTCTGGGTCAGGCGAAGAAGCCTACCAAGTTGAAGGTGCTGAAGGTTCTCTTGGTACAGGTTCGGAGGAAGAACTGCAGGAGATCTTCGAAATCCAAAAGAAAGCAAAGAAAGAGTTCAAGAAGCAGTTCCGCACCTACAAGGAATCCAAAAAGAAAGTGAGAGAGATCAAACGTGCACGCCAACCATACATGCCGGTGGTGGCCATTCCACCCACCGAAGGAGGACCTTCCCAAATGCCAACGGGAAGCCAATCCTCTTCGTCAAAGACACCACGCTATGAGAAAAGATCCTTTGACAAGAAACCACAAAAGGATCAAAAGAAGAAACCACCGAGGCGTGAGGACGCCAATCTGACGGAAACAGTTGAGTTGGTTGACAGGACATTGACCGAGTTCAGCTATGCCCTGACCGATGCAACTCCAGTCGAGCTTGAAATCCTTTTGGCTTCGATCCCGTCGGGTTTTGCAATCATTGACATTGGTTGTACTACATCAGTTGTTTGTGAAGAAACAGCACAACGTTATGAGCAGGTATTTCGACAGTGCAATTTTCCACCAGCCGTTCGTGTTACAATGCCGACAGTTGAGCTTCGTGGCTTTAATGGTCAAAGTGAAACTACAGCTGTTGGGTTGAAGTGGACAGTGCAGTTGGGATCATTGAGAGGGAACATCACAACATACGTTGTTCCTGGCAGTGCTCCATTCCTGCTGTCGCGAAGAGTGTTGGAAGGCATGCAAGCCACCTTGGATTTGGGTCGTATGACCATCACGAGTTCCAAGCATGGCATGCAAGATGTGCCTCTCAAGCAGGCCGCCAACGGCCATTTGCTGCTGTCCCTGGTGCCACAGGTCGCCGAATGGGAGACCGTCCTCAACGACTCGAATGAATATGAGCCCAATCCGCATGAAGCCCAAGCGATGGACCGCGAGTCCATTTCCGCAGATCTCGAGCACCACCAAGACCTCAGAGGACAGGACATGACCAAAAGTAATGTTTCTAGTGTGCCAAAAATGGAACCCACACCGTGTGATTTTAGGAGGGCGTTCCAAACAGTTTGCAAACATACCAAAGGAGGAAACGTAGATTGCACTTTGTTTCATGCCGAGTTGTCCCAGTTGTTCTTATGTGATGAAAAACAGGTGGTGCATGCCTTTGTAGCATACAAACCTAGATTAGAAAGGATCCCTACTATAAATGTAATCTCAATGGATAAAAGTGGAAATATGACCACGTCCGGGTGGGCAGTTCGTGCAGCCGGAAAGGCCCGTCGGCCTGTGAATCCGATGCAGGTAGCGATCTTTGCTTTTCGTTCCATCCGAGCGAATTCTGATCCTGAGAGTTCCCAGAGTGAGTCAGAGCACGTCGAACTCCTTGAGCCAGCAGCATCAACACGCCAGTGTGATTCTTGTTGTAGTGATGATATAGATGGTGATTGGAAGTACCCTGAACAATCAGACACCCTGGAAACCCTATATGAAGAAGTAGATTGGGTAGATCTTGAATTGCAGGATGTCCCCAAAGAACTCCAGGAAAGACTGAAAGGTACCATCACTTCAGCTCGCAGGCTCGGCGTTCGAATGGCCCTGTCACGATTGCAGACCGATAGTCATGCAGTGATTGCCGAACTTCGCCACTGGTTGGGCAAGCAGGCGTGGAAGTTAGATTCCACCGTAGGACTTGTTGAAGTGTTTACAGGTAAGGCCCCCTTGTCTTCACAGTTCCAGAAACGAACAAATCAAACAGCAATCCAGATCGGGATAGATTTTGGTCACGACCTTGGAAGATTGAAGGATAGACGAAATCTCCTGTTCCTCGTTGCCTTGACGAAACCCGCTCATGTTTGGTTTGCTCCCCCTTGTAAATGTTGGGGTCCGTGGTCGAGGTTTAATATGGCCCTCTCGGAATCTCGAAAACAGGAAATCATGAAAAAGAGACATCAAGCCAAACGACACTTGCAATGTGTTTCGGAAACATGGCATCTTCAAGTCATGCTTGGAGGCCAAGCTCACGCCGAAAATCCATATTCGTCCGATATGTGGCAGGAGTTAGTTCTTGGACCAGCATGGTCGATCCGAATTGACCAGTGCGCACTTGGACTCCGAAGTCCAAAATCCAATGTCCCGGTCCTCAAGCCCACTCGGATAGTGAGCACCCAGGAGTCTTTGATGCAACACTTAGTTCCATACCGATGTGACCATAAACATGGACATGATCATCTCGAAGGAAACTATAAAGGTAGGAACTTGACAGCCTGGGCCGAGACATATCCTAATAAATTTGCACGTGTCATGGCCGATGGTCTTGCCAAATGTCTCCAAGGAGTCAATCCGGTCCTGACGTAGTTGAAATCCTAGCTCAGGAAGAAGACCAAGAAGAAGAACTATTAGAAGAAGAACTGGAAGAGAGACTTGAAAGACCATTCGCTGAAGGTGATCGTCAATCACCAAGGCAGAGTTTGAATCCAAGACAGCTGCGAGTGTCCGCATTGGTTCGCAAATTGCGTGTAAACACAGGCCATGCATCTGTTGAACAAATGTTGAGACTTCCAATCGTTGCCAAGCCAATAAGGATATAGTGGACTGCATTCGGAGCTTCCAGTGTCCCATCTGTAACGAACTCAAACCACCTCCGTCATATCGTAAAAGTGCAATTCCCCATGCAGAGAACCCGAATGACATAGTGGGTATTGATTTTGTTCAAGTAGAACTCAAAAGGGAGGGACGTAATGGGAAGATGACCGAAATAAAGTTCAATGTTTTGACACGTGTTGATATGGCCTCAGGGTTCGCTCAACAAATCATCGTTGAACGCGGTCCCAATCAGCTGTCTCGAGCATTTCACAGGGTGTGGTCACGTCCCTATGGCACTCCTAAGATAATATTCATGGACCCTGCCAAGACTAACCTATCCCAAGATTTCCAAGAGTACTTGACACATCATGGCATTCAGTTGTTGCATGCGGCAGCAGAAGCACACTATCAACTAGGTCAGGTCGAAATTGCCAATCGTATTCTACGGAACATGGCCAATCGTTGTTGGCCTGGCACTGACCGTCCACCGGAGGAAGTCATTGAAATGTGTGCGACTACTCGTAATGAACAACTTCGAAAACATGGTTTCAGTCCAGCACAGTGGTTCTTGGGAAGGGACTCACGCCATGTGGGAATGCTTGCTGATCTGGATGAGCAAAGAAATTTTGCTGCCCAGAGCCAGATCCTGTCAGATCCGTCCTTTGCATCCAAGACTCGCCTTCGAGAAGAAGCCGCGAAAGCCTTTCATGAAGAACATGCAAAAGATACTTGGAGAAGAGCTGTAGCCTATCGACATTGCCCCATGCGAGGTCCGTATACTCAGGGTCAACTTGTCTATATGTTCCGTGCCGCAGGAAGGGGTCAGCTCAGCACCAGGCATGGTAAGTGGTTGGGGCCTGCCAAAGTCATTGGAGTAGAGAGTTCTTCCAATAGTCCCACACCACGTCTTGTTTGGACTAGCTATAATGGGTACCTCTATAGATGTCGACCTGAAGGCTTGAGACCCATGGCCGAAGACGAAGCTGAATTTCGCGCTCTCGCGAGGCAACTCGCGTTAGGCCAATTAGCTCCTGAGACGGAAACTGCAGGCAAATCACTGTCGGAGGGCGTAGCTCGCTTAAGGAAGATGTAGAAGCTGAACCCCATCCCGAAACCTTGGATGACAAGCCTGATTCAGAGGGCGGACCCCGGAATACTGGCAAAAGAGGTCAAGAGGTGAGATTCCCCCTCTCGGCAATCGCCATGAGCATGAGTTGAGCCAGCAGCCATTCGCTTCGGCTGCTCCTGATGAGATCCCGCGAGATCCAAATGAGCCAGCCGATAAGAGGAGAAGGGTTGTTGACATCGATTCATCCCCAAGTTATGCACCGACCGAACCACCAGTTCCTCTCGAAGAAGAGGGATCTCTGTCAGGCACTCAAATGTACCACGAGCTGGATGAGCTCATGCCTGACCCAGGTGTTGTTCCCGGACATCTGGATGCAGAGCCAGAGGCTAATCCGCCTGAATCCAATAATCCCGAAAATACCGATGAAGTAATGCCCGAAGTAGACTCACGACCATCCCACGTCGAAGAATCTGGTATAGATGTTCCCGTTCCAGAAGCCGGTGAAGATGAGCTAGCGGTAACAGCCAGATTAGCGAAGGTAGAACAAGTGTTCGAACTTTCCTTTGATATCCATCCCGAAGACATCACCGAGAATCCTCTGTGTCTGTGGAATCTTTTTGAAGAGTGCTTTCAGGCCGCACCGCCGTCGAAGGCGAAGCAGCGTCGAGTTGAAGTCCAATTTCGCAAACTCAACCCGGAAGATAAGAAACTGTTTCTTAAGGCAATGCAAAAAGAATGGCAAAGTTGGGTTGACAATAAAGTGACTTCACTTTGTAAAGCTAGAGGGATTCCAACTGAAAGAATCATTAGAGCACGGTGGGTCTTAGTGTGGAAAAAGTCATCGGATCCTGACATCACTGTCAAAACCCCCAAGGCCAGACTGGTTTTGGTGGGGTGGCAGGATCCTGATCTCGGAAAGGTCGCAACAGACAGTCCAACCCTTCGTAAGGAGACTAAGCACCTGGTCTTATCCATTTGTGCAGCATCTAAGTGGAAACTTTGGGGAGCCGACATAAAAACAGCGTTTTTGTCAGGTGATGAATCTTGCAGAAACATTTACTTTAGGCCTCCAGCTGAGATCAAAGAATGGATGAACCTCAGTGCGGACGACCTGTTTCGTCTTGAGAAAGCCGCGTACGGCCTGGCAGAAGCACCACGAGCATGGTTTGCTAGGTTGACCCGAGAGCTCAAGGAAGCAGGACTGGTCCAAAGCCAGTTGGATCCATGCCTGTTCTTGTTGAGAAGTAAGTCCGATAATTCCTTAAAAGGCATTTGTGGTGTTCATGTAGATGACCTATTGGGGGGAGGTTGCAAAGAGATGGATGAAGCTCTAGACCGCCTTCGAAAGAAATTGCCATTTGGAGATTACCGTACTTTCACCATAAGATATACAGGAGTAGAGATTCGACAACATCCCAACACCATGGAGATTGAAGTAGGACAAGAAAACTACATCGAAAATCTGGAACATGTTGAAACCAAGACCTTGGGAAATGCCTCAACACCCCTCACTGATCCGTCCATCCTCCGAACCTGCGCAGGACAGCTAGCATGGGTGTCGAATTCGACTAGACCCGAACAAGCTTTCTTGGCGTCGTATCTTCAAGGAGTACAGGATAAGGGTAGCGTTGAACATGTTCACTTGTACAACAAGGCAATCAGGGAAATGAAACAAAGGAAGATTTGTTTGAGGTTCCCCAGCCATGTCCCAGTAAGTCAGTGGCACATCCTGTGCATCTCTGACGCTGGATGGTGTACAAGAGCTAATGGCGAAAGCCAAGGTGGGTATATACTGTGCTTCACAACCAAACAGATCTTAGAAAATAAAGAAGCGCCGGTTTGGTTGATCGATTGGAGCTCCAAGAAACTGAGACGAGTGGTCAGGTCATCTGTAGCAGCCGAGACCATGGCTGGACAGAACGGACTCGATTCGATAGAGTGGATCCAGTCCTTGCTCGCTGAGATCTTGGAAGACATGTCTCCGAAAGCATTCAGAGAACAGGTCCCTGAAAAGACAGCTTGCCTCGTTGTGGATAGCAGGGTTTCTTCGATGCAGTAACTAAATCTTGTAGCTCTCCAACCATCAGTGTTGAAAAACGTCTACAAATCGATTACGCAATCGCAAAAGAAAGTATGGCCTTGCAAAATATAGTTGTCTTCTGGACTAGCAACCTCTTCATGTGTGCAGACGTGCTGACCAAATTGAAAGCAGACACCGCACCTTTCTACAAGCTCGTTGACACATGGAAATATACAATCCGTGTAGGAGTAGAGTCAGGACGTAAGGAAAAAGCCAAAGCTAAGATTGCAGGAAATACTAATGTAGAATGAGCACCAGGCCCATGCATGTATATGTGAAGTGGAACCATGATGCCTTGGGGAAGCTTAAATGAATTCGTTAGATAGGAAGGGATATCTAATCCTTGAAATTCCATAGCAGCCTATTATGTAACATGCCAACTGAGGAGTTGTCGTGTCACCGTTTTTTCTCGTGCCGTTTCGGTTAAACCGATGTTTTTGCACAGAGCATTTTTTGTTCCAAGGAACTGAGTGATCTTGAACGTGTCTCCCGTCTAGGACCCGCAGTCCGTAGAGACATGGCAAAAGCTCCGAAGACCAACGACGAAACTCATCATCTCCGGTCACCGTTGTCGGAGGAAGAGATCGGGGTATGCACCGGACTACTCCACCGAGCAGCTCGTTTTGGCCAGACGGCCCAAGTCCTGAAGCGAGTGTCAGAGTGGACACAGATCCGACCAGATCTCAAGTCCAGTGTGGTGGCGGCCTCGTATATGGTGGAAGCTGCAGGTGCCGCTATGTCGGATGCCTCCAAGCGTCGCCTTGACTTTGACGAAGCCTCCAATGCCACCAACCCGTGGGAATTCGTCGCCACGAATGAGCCATCCGGATCTACTGCCGGCCCCTTGGCCTTCGAGTTGGAAAAGACCCAAGAAGGGTATGTTGGGGGGAAGAAGGAATTGTTTCCTGTAGCCACCACAAGTGCCACGGATCCCAAAATTCCACTTCCTGATGGAATTGTTTCGATTGAGCAGTGGGGCAAAACAATTTGCCGCATGGATAAAGTGAAATCGGAAAGTCTGACCTATGATCAGATGGTATACCGAGCTCGCACCAATTCGAAAGCAAGCGAAGACATGCGCTAATACCTCCATTTCATCTTGTCCAAATACCGGACAAAAGGTGAGATTCCAACCAAGGTGACGAAAGCGATTGACCTTGCCATGTTTTTGGAGAAAGTAAAGTGGGTGAAACCTGATTATGAAGGTCTTGAAGAGAAGTATGGATTCACCCGCGAACTGCAGACCTAGAAGGTCGAGACTGCTGGATCAAATGCCGCGCCATGAGGGCGTGTGAAAGTGTGCATCCATGTCGGACATGTCATGTTTGCATAAGGTTGATGGCGGCCCTTTGATCCTTTCCGGCCCAAGGGCCCTTGAGCTTGTTCGTACCGAACGCTAGGCTGCGCCACATGGAAAAGCGCCGTTGATCGCTGTGTTGTCGATTCGTGATCCCCATTTGCTTGAGGATACCCACACATTGGTTGACATTGTGTTCCCATCTCCGCTTACCATTTTACAAATATGGTCCAAGCTATGATTGATCTTCTGCCACTTGAGAAGAGTGGTGAGCAAAGGGACGGAGGAGGGAGGGATGAGATGGGATGAGAGAAGACTGGAGGAAGGAAGGACAAACGAAAGAAAGGAAGAACAACCAAAGCAATCAGGAAACTTGCCTGAGGCTGACTTCACTTGCCAAAGCATAGTTGGCCATGGCCCCGGTGCAGCATCCAGCCTCAAGAATAGCCAAGAGCTTGACACTGCTTCAAACACTCCTTCAAGCCAGGCAATTGAAGCAACTAGAAGACAAAGAATGCTGTTTACGTTTGCGTCCGGTCTGGCAGTCTGGCAATGAGAAAATGCTTGAAGCAATGTTGATCCCGATTGCTTCACAACAGTTTTCTCTCCCGGCCTCGGTTGCAAAGCTCGGCGAGACATCCGTGACAGCAGCTGTAGGCCATGTCTCCATGGAGCCTCGTTTCACTCAATCCCAATACCGAAATACCGAGACACCAAGAACAATATTGAAGGTGCAAGGAAAAACCATAACATTAAAGAACAAACTCCTTGTCAGATTATGTTTGTTCAGCACTGCCATACTACCATCCACTGTATCATCTGGACTCAAAGCTCTTCACGTCTTTAACTCTGGCCTGCAATCCCTGGGCTGAAACACGTCGTCGAACAATGCTCTCGAGAAGTAATGCTGCCTGACATACAGATTCTTGCGTCAGACTCTTTCAGTCTTGCACCGCCCATCTCAGTTTCAAGTTTCAGGAGAGAAAAGTAGACCACATGTTTAACAATGCTTCATGTTTCTCATGCTTCTTTGTGTAGACCGTTATTCCTTCTCTTCTTTCCTTAGCACAACAAGCCACACCGAACTTCTCTATTGCATTGATGTGTCCAGCTGCCCCAACGCGATCAAACACCCGACCACGTAGACATACTGAAACTCTTTGTTGCCTGGTTCTTACCCAGGTGTCTTGTTTTGGCTGCTTTTGGACATAGCACCAATGTTTGCCACCCGTGTTGTCACAAGGCATGACAACCCATGCCTCGCGAAAAAGCGGGAATATACCGTCTTGCCAGTTTATATATATATATACAGTATTATATACAGGACATTTTATGGAACAAGCATAAAACATACCCAGGAACTAAGAAGACTTGGGTTTGTTTGCTATATCCCCCCAGCACACCTGGTGTATCTCTTGCTTGGAGATGGCATTGAGTTGCTTCCGTTGCCAGCTGTCTGGCAGAACCCAATGGCTGTGTCACGACCTGCCTGGCCCTGCCTGCTGCCATGGGCCGGCTTTCAACGTCACATCACCTTGCGCAACACAGGTGCCTCTTAGGTGGAGGCCATCGCCATTGGGTTGGAGGCGATATCGCTATTAGGTTGGAGGCCATTGACAACACGGGTGTCTCGGATCAACTGATCGATCTGAATGCAAGACGCGCGCTGTCCGCTCAGGCTCCAGATCGAACGCAACTATAGTTGGAGCAGGGTCTGCGTTGGGCTGAACTTCTCGTATGGTTCTTGGCATGGACAGTTTGATGCATACAGTCAGCAACAATTTGGAATTGCTCTGCGCTATCTTCGCAGCTTGTTTTTTTGTGCTGGGGGCGTGCACTTCGTGTCGATGTGCTTTCATTGGCAATGAGGCGTCAGTTGAGCTTTGACAGGGCAACAAATGACAACAAAATAATATACTATGAAGCTCCTGAAGATTCTAGAGGTGAGGTTTTGGGTCACAAGTGTGATAGCCGAAACAGTTGCACAAAGAGTGCCTTTCCACGCAGGCGTCAATGAATATATGCTGATATATGATATGTAAGGTCTACAAGGGCAAAACGGCTGATGTCACTTCTTTTGCGGGTGCCAGTTTCTCAACATCCAGGCCCCAGAAGGCATCCTTTCCCTTTCCTGTTTCATCCATATTCATCCATAGCATGGCGGGGTGAGATTTTTGATCACTTTGGTGACATGGGTTAGACGGTTAGATGTTTAAAACGGTTGGCATGGCAGTGGCAGCAGCCCACTTGGCCCAAATGAAAGCAACTTCTGCGATTTCAAGCGGAAATTCAACAAGCGGCCTCGTGGTTGCCAAACTGAAACTCGTCACCACGCAGAGTTCTTTTTTGGGGGGTTGGGGTGCACGTGTGCACGACACACGCTTAGTCACAGGGTTTGCAGTTTCCATAATCCACAGTGAAATGGATGAGGGAACGGAAAGGCGCGAAGTCGGCTTAACTGAGATGTTGAACAATGTTGGCACGTTAGCACTTTACTGAATACTTAGCAGATAAAAGGGAAGGTTTAGGGGAATAGCATGAGAACCGCCACCAGAAACACGCGCAAAAGGAGAACAGCTTGTGCAACAGTTCAGCAGGTACGTTTGCAGCCCTCCCCTGGCTTCTTCGTTGGCCATCCGCCACTGGGCAGGGGGATGGCCCCTGTTAACCAAGAACTCTTAGAACTCTTAGAAGCAGAGTGTGGCACACACAAAACGCCGATTATCGGCTTGAAGCAAAACGGATCGCTTTGCCTTTCAACACAACGGTTGCACTCTGCTGCGGTGTGCCCTTAATGAACCTGACTAGGTACCTGAAAAGCCTTAGAAAAAATAGAGCGAAAAAGTGACTACTTGCACTTGACTACTTAGCTGTGAAAAAGAAAGAGAAGAACCTCATTACAGACCTAAACGCCTCTAGCAGAAAGGCAAACCTAGAAAGAGAAACGAGCAGGCAAGAGAGAAAGAACAAAACAAAGCCCGAGGGGCAGGGAAACGAGCCTCAAGAACCACCTAACGAGCCTGAAAGAAAACCTAGAAAACGAAGAATGCGTAAGAGAGAAAAAAGAGGGGGGGGCAGGGAGGGTGTGTGTGTGTGTGTCCATGTGTGTGTCTAGTTACTGAATACTTAGCAGCCGTTAATTACGTGCAATAGTTAAGGAGCGGGACTTTAGTCTTAGACCGCCCGGGTAGAGTAGACCAGAACAGGGGCAACAGAAGGAAAGGCACCGATACACAAGTGTGTCGGATACCATTTCCTTGTGCGGGGGTTCATTCTCCTTAAGCCCGGCGGCATTTAGTCCGTGAGCCCGGCGGCATATGGTTCAGTTGACTCATGGATGAAACAAAACAAACCAAACCATAATCCACGAACTCAAGACGCTGAGCCAATTTGTGACCCACGATGGCTTCGGCGCCTCTCTTGCGAGAGGATCACACTGTGTACCCAGTGGGAAAACACAGCGATACACACTTAGTCACAGGGTTTGCAGTTTCCATAGTCCACGGAACGGAAAGGCGCAAAGTCGGCTTAACTGAAATGTTGAACATTGTTGGCGCGTTAGCACTTTACTGAATACTTATGAGAAACAAACGGAAAGGAGAACAGCGTGTGCAACAGTTCAGCAGGTACGTTTGCAGCCCCAATTTAGTGGCCTCTTCGTTGGCCATCCGCCACTGGGCAGGGGGATGGCCCGCTGCTTTGCAAAAATCAAGAACTCTTAGAGCTCTTAGAAACAGAGTGTGACACACACACACACACACACATGCGCACGATCTGCGGTGCTTGCCGAGGCGCCGTGCTGGAGCATCAATGCATGAGGCCAGCAAAGGGCACGTTCCAAAGAAATCACGACACTGCGTCGAGTTACCTCGACCAATAATGCATGCTGACGGAATTGCCAAGATCTTCAATCTTCATTAGGTAGCCTTCAGTGCCCTCCCATTGGGTCGCCATGTATGGTTCCCGGCTTCTGGCCTGGTCAATGGGTAGATTGACCAACTTCATGGTTTTCAGAGCGCCTAGGCTGATGTCGCAGCCCAATACGGGGCACACCAAGGGTACATACATGTACATACCATCATTATCACCCACTACACCAATTCAATTCAAGCGCTCTCCCTCTCTCTCTCTCTCTTTTTCTTTTTTCCTCTCTCTCTCTCTGCAGAGTCTAGCTAGTCTAGTCTAGCTGCCTTACATCAATTCAAGGTGTCAAAAAAAACTTGTGGCGAGAGGCTCAGAGCTTGGCACCAGGCATTGCACAGAGTGAAACTCCAAGAGATGTGGTCCATTTTGACAGACTCAGAAACTCGCTTGTGTCATGGGAGGATGAAGGACAACATTTGGAAGCAACTGAGAACCGGTGCCACAATTCTGCTGAGAAACGACCCTGGAATATCCTGAGTTGATGGTTGAAGCGGTCGCTACGGGTTGACGCGCTCGTAGCAAGTGCAACAAGCGTTAACAATTAGCCGTCCAGCGGCATACATGTTCCAGGTAAACATCTACCCCGTGAGAAAGCGCGATGTCCCCACTTATTTTGGTGTACGCACATGATGTATTGTCGTGAGGTGCTTGGCCACCGACTGGGTGAAATATAGTATCAGTGAACATTAATGATGTTCACGCTCTAGGTATTGACCCGCCTGCCAGCAAGGCTCACAACAGCTTTTACGCCAGGACACTCCGCAGAAATTCTATTGCTGCATGCCACTGCCTTTGGTGCTGGAAAACCCGTTTGGTTCCGTAGACTTGTTTCACCGCCCGCCAGTTGAGAATGTAAGAATGCTTCGAGAACACATGGTACTGGTACTGCCATGTACTGCAAAAGATGGCATCTATCTGAATCTACAGTATCTCTTGTATTGTCCCCTTTGACACTTTGCTTCGGCAGCACAAACATTTTTCAAAGACAGAACCCGAAAGCTGCTACAAGCCACTCTAGGGAGAGAGTCAGCTTGTGCTTAGGGGGCACAAGAATGTATGTGAAAACACTCCGACAGGTTTGCTTCCCTGTTTCGAATGTCTTGCTCAGGACTCCAATTCCTCACTGACGTGCCAGGCCACAATTTTGCAGATATTGCTCCTGCAAGAAGCTGGCGCCCCTTGTGGCGCGAGTCTTCGGCAATTAGCAAAGCATCTGTGGTGGCCAAAGCTGCTGCCCAGGCCGGCGTCTTAGGGGCCACTAAGGACAAAAAACTGGCCGACTCCTGCGACCAATTGGGACAGGACTCTGCATGAGACCTATGAACTGGTTGCGCTTGATTTGTGTTTCTTTACTGGTACTATCCTTTCACTGGTGCCTACACCAAGCCTACTTTCTGCCTACGGGCTCACAGTTTTGGCCTACACGCAGGTCGAAGTTAGGATAGGTTGCCTACGCGGCCTAGGCGCGTGGAACTTTTGTTTATCACTGAATGGTTTTGCCTGCGCGGCTACAGTTTTGGAAGCTTTGCGCTGTTTTAGTCTATTGTTTTGCAAGGCGTTGGGTTTCTTCTTAGCCATGGCGAAAGGCCTACTAACGACAAAGGCAGGCCATATGGACGAAGAAGCGTTCCAAACCTTCACTTAGCCATGTCTGGCGCAAAAATCTTCCCGCACCAGTTTTCGCCTACGCCTACCCTACTTTTCGCCCACGCGACGCTTACGCCTACTGCATGTTGGTTTTGCCAATATCTTGCCCGCTCCTATCCAGGTAGCGTTTGAAATATCCTTTGTGAGTCTTCTTGACTGGGAAATGCGTCGCCCACGCGGCTGCTGCCACACAAAACATTAAAAAACATGCCTACGCCAGCCTACGCCCCCAAGCAGGATGCCTACACCCAACCATTTGCAGGTCAACCCACCTGAGAAGGGAGGGGGCGAAAGCCAGCCTCTGGCTTAGGGGGTGCTCTCAGGGTAGGCCGGGCAAAGGCTTGGCGTGCAAGAGGAAGTGATGGGGTAACATCGGGCAAAGATTAATTTCATGAGGCGAAGTTGACATCGCATCCACACTGATAGGGGGTAGAAATGGAAAGTAGAAGACATACAGTGAGCAGAGACGGCGGTGGGGGTTCATGTGCGAGGCAATGGGTAGGGTAGGAGATATGCTACGGATAAAGAAGGGCACCCCTAAGCTATTCAGAACCTTCCGTCTCCAACGCTTGCCCGCTGCAGTCTCTTCTCTCTCCTGCCCCCAACCCCGCCACATAGGGAGTGCCCTCTTCAGTCCGGTTCTCTTGCAGGCCCTCAACGGATGGCATCATGCACCCCGTGTGGGGTTCCCTTTTCAGTCCAGCAGCTGGAACTTGCCACGAATAAAAAAGGGCACCCCTAAGCTATTCAGGACCTTCCGCCTCCAACGCTTGCCCGCTGCAATCTCTTCTCTCACCTGCCACCAACAGCCCCCCCAATTCACGTGAACTCCCACAGCATAGGGAGTGCCCTCTTCAGTCCGACAGCAACGCTCAGCTTAGCCGCAACTTGAATCTGTTCTCTTTCCATGGCCTCCTGAGCCCCTTGTCATGCTGATGATGCACTCCTCGCTGTCAATTACATCACCGGCACCACAACACCCCTCCCCCACCAGGCTCCGGGTTCACCTCTCCGGAATTGGCCACCACGCAACCACCCCCCCACACCCCCTTTACTCACTTCAGCCCTACCGGCTGGCTTTCGTGATAAAAAACCTCTGCTCACTTGGAGTATCCATGCCGTTAGAACCTGCCCACCTCTTCCCTGTTCAGCAATTTGTTGCTTCTCACAAATTGAACAATGTGTCCTGCTGCAGCGAAAAGCAATGCATTGCTTGAAAAAGCTGCAGGGCTGCTTGCCAAGCAAGGCACTTTGCACTCAGGCTGATCGCCGCATTCCAGGTGATACGGTCAGCAATCACTTGGCCTAAATGCACAGAATACTCTAACAATACAAGGTTTCTGTGGCTTTCTGAGCTCCCTTGTAGCCACACCGCGTTCTCAATTCTGAATTGAAAGGCTTTCCGGCACAAGAACCCTCCCAAAGGGACCTTCTTTACAACGTGAACGTTTTTATGCATCAAGACGCCTGATAAAAGCCAAGCAAAACATAATCTCCAAGGAAGTCCGCTTATCACAGTGCTTTCTGCAACAGCTGAACGTACAACTTGGCTCTGCATCATCTCCTGAAAGGACTCGAGCAACTGCAAACCAAACACAAACCGAGCAAAATGAAACGTGTTCTTTCAGGCCTCCAGAAAGTGAACGCTTCGGAGCCACACCCTGGGCGAGTTTGGAGATTAACATCAGCATGCAGCGTTTTTGGAGATTGCTTAGCGCAAACCTGCCATCCGACTTAGGTGCCAACGGACTTGCTCGAAGGGCCAGCAACGCTGAGTTGAAGCATCGCTCATCTGTTTTCACCAGGTTGCTTTGTAGTTTCTGAAACGTACCTCGTCGCATACCGGGTCTCCTACAAACAAAACACTGCGGGTTGGCTGTGGGTACAATGAATTGCATGACTGATACTGCATGTGGCTGTCCTTGTTTTCTTGGTTCACCTTCCTAAATGCTTATGCGCCCAACTACAGCGGGCGAGAAATGGGAAATGAGAACGAAACAGTTACTGTACATGTTCGTGCGCTTACTACATTAAAACTGTATGAATTTCAAATGCATGTGTGTGTGCTCGAGAATCATCCTATACAGTTTTAACCTTGCTAGTTAAAGAGATACGTATCAAAAGTTGTGCATGCGTGTTGGCAGACTTAGTCACTGGACCGCGTCACGTTTACGCAATTGTACTAATTGTACTCTCCAGTATCTAGAATCTAGTTATATATCATTATATATATCGTACTTATAAGTTTGCTGGCGCCACGTATACGTTCAACATCGTTCAACATTGTTCCTGTACCAAGTGAAACGTGTCGAACATATGAGCGGAACATGTCACACTTGCAAAGTTTAGGAAGCACGTGTTTGTAGGTGTTGGAAGTCATGAAATCCCGATGCGTCGCTGCAGGGCAAATGTTCGCAGCAGGTTCCTCCTGCTTTGTGAAGCAGGTGGTGGTTTTGCAGGTGAAGCGTGTGATTTTGGAGTATATAATTTATGTTTGTTGTTGTCCGTGGGTTTGAAGAAAAAACTATGATGCTTGCAAATGAATGTCATGAAACCACCACGCATCTGCTGAAACAGGTCGGTCCATGGACATGACATAAAAACCTTGGCGCGCATGACTGTTCAAACAGTTGCAGGACAATCGCGTCTCCACCAGAACAGGATTCTCGGCAACTGCGCGCGTGGATCCAAGGGGTACATTCTTGGAAGACATGGAGTTTGCGCCAGCTTTGGTCTCAGCAGTGGCCTTTGAGGCCACCAGCCAATTGCGGCTGGAGTTCAGCCAGCTCGTGGCTGATTGCCAGCAAACCTACGAGCTTTCGGCGCGCGGATGCCACACAAATTTTGCACGATGCTTTCAAGATGGTGCCCCGCACAGCAACCAACAAGTTACAGCAGCAGGCAGGCTTAGCAAGGTTGAAGCTGGTGTCATGTGGGAAATCGTGCTCGGCTGGTTTACGAACATCTTCCCGCAACTGCCTGGTATCATGCAACAAGTCGGGAACGCCTTGCTCAGGAGAGGCAAGCATCTTCTTTCCGTTGACACGCCACGCCGAATGTGCACAGTGGGACATTTTGCGCACAAATGATGTAGGGGTAGCGTGGCGCATGTCGAATGGAGAAAACGTGTGGATTTCAAGTCTTGTCGTGACATTGAACCATGAACATGCTTCATACCACGCATGTTTCGTGACTAGCTTCACGCATCATGATTGTTGCGTGGTAAGACCAAATGGTGGCATTGTCCCCGTTGGCCTTTGCAAGCAAAGAAACAATGCACATTGGAGTCATTGCGCGCAAATGACAAATGAGATCTAACACTCGGGCCACTTGTAAACTTGCAAGACGTGGGTGTGTTTCACTTTGCAAAAGGGCCCCAAAACTATTTCCTTACAGTTGTCGACATTTTTGACAGGCATGCCATGGTCTCAGCCTCATGAGCTGCCAGTGTTGGGTCGTCTGTCCTACGTGTCCAGTGCTTGGTTAGGAGGCGTTTCGAAAGAGCTGAAGCAGATGGCTTGATTTCGGAAGACAGTCCTGTATCCAGCCAGACCTTCAAGCGGGCCGCCATTGAAGCAGCATCACCGCTGAGTGTGCCCTGTTGACGGTGGTGATAGAGAGCCGCGAGCCAGCCAGGCAGCAGCTGCTGCGCCTGCCGCGAAAACTGCATTTCGAAGTAAAACAGCTCCGACCCCTTGCACCTGTCACGAAAAGTCGAAATTGAAACACCAAAACACGAGCTTTCCCCTGTGCCTGCCACGAAAAGTGACCACCATGTGCGAAAATGCGCGCGGCACGCAGTCGTTAGAAGCACCCGCCCGGGGCACCCAGACTGTGTGAGCCTGCGCAGTCGAAGTGCACATAAGACACAGGTGAAAGCCCTAGTTACAATGGAGGGACGATGATCCGACCATGATCCGAGAATGACGCGAGTTCATTCCGCAACTGTCGTTCCGCAGAGCTAGCCATGCCAGGTTCGGAACCACCCTTTGTATTAAAAAATGCTGCATTTCGTGCCTCCGCTATCTCTCGAACATGCATTTTGTACAAGACTTCCTTCCAAAATGCATGTTGAAGAGCTGACCAGAGCTAAAGCTGAGTAGTAGAGGAGGAGGAGGAGTAGTAGTAGTAGTAGTAGTAGAAGTAGTAGAAGTAGTAAAAGTAGTAGAAGTAGTGGAAGTAGAAGTAGAAGTAGAAGTAGTCGTAGTAGTAGAAGTAGTAGTAGTAGTAGTAGTATTGATAGTGGTAGTGGTAGTGGTAGTGGTTAGTGGTAGTGGTAGTAGTAGTAGTACTACTAGTACTAGTAGTACTAGTGGTGGTGGTGGTAGTAGTAGTGGTGGTGGTAGTAGCAGTGGTGGTGGTGGTAGTAGTAGTAGCAGTAGCAGTAGCAGTAGCAGTAGGAGTAGTAGTAGTAGTAGTAGTAGTGATAGTGGTACTAAGTAGTAGTGCTAATGATTTGAAAGTCCGCAACACGGAAGTTTTGCACACCAAACTCCCTTTGATGACTGTGGACAAGAGCAAGAGAGAGAGAGAGAAGAGAGAGAGAGAGAGAGAGAGAGAAGAGAGAGAGAAGAGAGAGAGAAGAGAGAGAGTGAGAGAGAGAGAAGAGAGTGAGAGAGTGAGAGAGTAGGAGGGAGTGAGTGAGTGGGCGCAAGTGAGTTAATGTGAATAAGTTGGTGTGAGTGAGTTGTTGTGAGTGAGCGAGTTGATATTGCCGAGCGGGAGAGGCGCGAGGAGGACAGCGGGAGGAGAAGTGGGAACAGTTGAAATGACGAACTCATGATCTGTAACAAGAAGCTACTAGGGGCTCCTGGCCTTACTACTAGGAGCAAGGACGCTACTAGGGGCTCCTGGCCGTACTACTAGGAACAAGAACGCTACTCATGATCTGAGGTGAGTTGTGTGAGATGACCTGTGCTGCACCTGCTCGTTCTGCCTTGTAAGTGCGGCACCTGCCATGCAAAAGCCATTGAGGATACACAAAGTGCCGCACCTATCACGCGGAATCACTGCGGCCCAGCGGCGACACAGCGTGCACCTGCTCTTCCTGGTGCTGCGCCTGCCACGCGCCTGCTGTTTAAGGGATGAGATGTGTGAGAGATGAATTGTGAGTGCAAGGTTCAACGCTCCTATTTTCGAGCATAAAAGCGGCTGTCGAGTGTACACTTCTCGTTTTGTGCGTTTCATCCTTTTGGACGTGCACTCCTCCCTGGTCGGCAGGTTTTTTCATCTGTCGACCAGCATTCCCAAAAGCGAGCCGTAGGCTCAAACCGCTTTACAATCCGCATATCTTGCATTGGCGGATTTCTGCCATTGGTCCTGTCACCGCATGACACCGCGCATCGGTGTGGAAGTTGCCGAGCTGGTCCTCATAGACAAAGTTCGCTTCTCGAAGACTTCTCTGACCTCTCGTGGCCCTCTGGCAAGCCCCACACACCGGCTGCTCGTGGACTCGGTTGGCTTTCCTCAATCCCCTGCAGCTTCTCTGTCTATGGAAGCACTTGCTGGACTCGGCGAACCAGATCTTCCACGTTGGCTCATTGGGGAACCGTCTCCTCCTCCCGGTCAGGGTGATCTGTAGATGATGCCCTCCGGGTAGGTCAGCTTGATTGGGCGGTTCCTCTTGTGGCTCATCCAGGGTAGGATCTGCGCTCCCTTGATGTCCTTGTCCATCGCCTCCACTCATTCTGGTACTTCTCGGTGATGAGGATGAAGCACTCTGCCCCCCAGGGTTCAAAGGCTGCCACTCACCATCACCTTGACGTGGCTCTCGATCTCCTCCTCCGTGAGTTCTGGTAGAAGTCCTTGTCCCGGAAGAAGACTGTCCAGCCAAGCGAGAGACCCTCACTCTACGCGTCGCCGGTTCGTTCTCCACCCGGTCCCAATGCATGCGACATCTTTGGACAACCTTCATGAGCACCATTCCCAGCAACATCATCATGACGCTGAGGAGGTACAAGATCTGGTCACCCTCGACATTCTCATCGGCATTCTTGGTGACATTCTCCGCCATGGCTCCATGCACCTCTTTCAACGCCGACAGCACCACAACAAGCCTCGTGGCCTTCTCCAAGTGGTACTTCGCGACCAACTTCATAGCCCTCGGTGCGACAATGCCCTTGTCCTCCTCATGTACTTCGTCCACTGAGTCGGGCTGCCATGACATTCCCATCCGTTGCCTCAGCTCGTTGACCCGGGCCACTGGCAAAGACTTGGTGCCGATGTCCGCGATGAGCTCTCTTCCAGGCTGGTACTTCAGGGCCCATTGACCAGACTGGATCCTCCATTTGAGGTGGGCGGCCCGGACCTTCAAGTGTCTTGTACGCCACGCTCCAGTTGCACAACTTGCTATTGAAACTGCAGCTGTGTTGTCGCACTTGAGGAACTTCGGGACGTCCTTTGCCATCTCATCAACCAGACATGCGATGCTGTCTCCCACGACCACAGCTTCGATGACCTCTATGAGCTCTGCCTCCGCGGTTGAAAGGGCGGGGAACAGCTGCTTGCAGCTCTTCCATGCCACCGGTGCTCCGGCCACCGTTGTGATCACGCAGCCATGGCTATGAGCACCTCCTGGAGCGAACGAGGCATCACTCACTGACTCCAGGATGAAGTTGGCGTCTCTCCTGTACCACAAGCCCAGGCCCTGCGTGGCATTCAAGTGCCTGATCAGCTGGTATGCGGTTTGGATCGCCCATTTTGGGGCCCGGCTCGTCGCTGAGCAGATTCGGCTGACCGTGTAGGCAATGTCCGGCCTCGTCTTCGTTGCCAGCCACAAAAGTTCTCCTCCGAGTTGTTGTGCCTCTCGGACCTGCAAGGGCGTGCGATCCA